ATTTGGACGAAGGTGACATGATGATCCCACGATCAACACCATAAGCAAGACCCTAGAAGCACAAGAGAAGACCCAAGATATTAAGCAAAGTCCAAGCACGAAGATAGAAACCAAGCCGGACGCATGATCGCGAAGAAACGAGCTTCATAGAGGTGACCGGACGCGGTCCTTATAGCGACCGGATGCGTCCGATCAAGATGCTAGGCAATGGCAGGCGTTAGTAGCAGCGATCGGACGCTGGGGATTCAAGTGATCGGACGCAACGATGACACTGTTCACTGTCGCGACTATAGCTCAGCACTGACCGGACACTGGAGGGTGATCGACCGGACACAGGAACTGCAGCGTCCGATCGAGTTGAGAGAGGTTCCAGAGCGGCGCCAGCACGACCGGATGCGTCCGATCGATAGTGACCGGACTCAGCGTCGAGTCCGATCAATGTGCTAGCTTCAACGGTCGGGACGACCGGCCGCGTCCGGTCAGGACAACAAAAACGTCCGGTCAGTAGCAGAAAGGTGGGTTTCGTCCCCAACGACTACTTTCTCAGTGGGGCTTATAAATAGACCCCCAACCGGCCATTCGAGTAAAGTGGAGCTGAGGAAACATACCAAGGGTGTTAATACACCATTTTAGTGATCTTCACTTGCATAGTGCTTAGTGATTCATTAGGTGATTAACATAGGTGCTTTGCGAAGTGCTTAAGTTGATTAGACCACCGCTTATGCGCTTGCTTTAGGTTTAGGACTAGTGTTTAGTGAGGTTTGCACACCTCTTATCACTCGGTGCTTGCGCGCACCATTGTTGTATATTGGAGGGGCTTGTAGTCTCGTGAGATCACACCAACCGCGTTTGTGGTGTGGCCGCCATCGTGTACCGAAGGGAACAAGGCCCTCGGTGTTTTGGCCGGAAGCTTGATAGTGAAGACAGCGGGGAGCGATCCGGGAGAGGCTTGTCGGAAGGCACACCGGCGACCCACTTGCGCGTGGGGAAGGCCCGGGGCTATCCACGGAGTTACCCGACCGGGAGCTTGGCCCTTGAGAGGGATTCCTTATGAGGGGCTCCAACGAGGACTAGGGGAAGCTTGCGCACTTCTCGATACCTCGATAAAAATACCGGAGTCGTCGATAAGAGTTTGCATATCTCTACCTTACTCTTTAGCTTCTGCATTTACATTGTTTGCATAACTCCTTTTTACGGTAGAGATAGCAACACACTAGCAAAACCATAGTTGCACATTTAGATAGTTTATCTTTTTGCATAGGTTTTGCTAAGGTTAGAAGAAGAGGCCATAGTTTAGAGTTAGACTTTTAAGTTGTCTAATTCACCCTCCTCTTAGACGTCATGGTCCCTTACAATCTTATTGTTCATTCTATTGCACATATTGACACATCTTCCTCCTCATGCATCTTTGCAAAACATTTTTATTATTTTTTAGCATATATGTCAAGAAAGCTGGTAGGCTCACCCTGTGTTGTAAAAATAAAAAGAAAAAAGAAAAATTCCATAAACAAACTCATCAAACGTGTAAATGGGGACATCAAATCATTTTATGTAAGTCATAAGAAAATTGTGATGATGCAATGTGCCACTATATGCAGTATGCTACCGATCGAAATAAGATTTTGATGTAACTCAGGACTTATGATAGATAGGTTTTCTTTTTAACACGACTCACACAAGTAGCTTCCATTTTCAAAAGTAGCAATAATAAAAATAAGAATTGAAAGACATTGTTGAAAAACTTTATTTCCTTAGCTGGCCAACAAGATTATTGCTATTTATTACGCAACTACTTCTCTTCGCCACCCCTTCCCCCTCCTCCCCCCAAAAAAAAAGAAAAAGAAAATACATGTATGGTCTCCATAGAGCATCTTCAAGAATCATCCTAAACTTAATTCTTCTATATACAGTGCATACTAACTTAATTTTTTTCCCTAGCTATCTCTTCTCACAGCAATTCCCTTATCTCAAATAACATATACGAAAGACAACATGTCCTCTCAAATTTGATAGAGAGTATAATTTAGGATAGCACTAATGTTGGAGGTTGGATATGGGACCGTTGGAGGGTGAATTTTGTTGATGAACCTTAATTTGACCTAAAAAATTGGATAGGTGAACTCTAAAAGATGCTCTTACGTATTTAAAAATCAATAGTTGTTCATTGAAAAGTTTCATTTCGTAAGGCTTCTAGCAGCTCTAGCTTTTGCATTGTAGTGGACTAGAGCAAAAAGAAGATAAATGGCTTCAACAGCTTTCAATTCATTTTCGAGGGCAAGAGAAATAGCTTTACTAGAGTAGGATAATAATGTCGCAAATTCATGCGGCAGGTGAACCTAGAGCTCAGTCAGTGAATAACATGTAATTGAAGGGGTTAGTCTAATTAAAAGAAGCGTCCATAGTATTGCATTAGTTTGGACGCGGAAAAACCAATAATTGATCGTCGGAATATTGCATTTGAATGACTTGTAAATGAAGAATGGTATCTATTAGACAAAATGCACATATTATAGCACTACATTACCATCATCAATCAGGAGACAAAATTATGGGCCCCGAATTGCGGAATTGGCATGATTTTAACATTGTGTTCTCAATTTAATTTAAGAGTAAAATGCATCCTGGGTACTTAAACTATTGGGGCATTACCATCTAGATACTCGAACTGAAAAAGCTACCACCTGGGTACTTAAACTATGGGGCATTACCATCGGGTAAGATACGAACTAAAAACCTCCCATTTAGGTACTTAAACTATTGGGCCATTACCATCATGGTAGTTCATTTATTAATTGACCGGGGCTCAGCCTTCAGCCAAATGAATTTTGATTCTTTTTTATTTTAAAAATGGATGAATAGTGTTCATTTATTAATTTTGTAAAAAAAATTTAGAGCTCAAACATTCTAAAATTTTTTATATTCATTTCTATATGATGTACTCTACCTAGGAAAAGTACAAACTTGGAAAATAGATGTTTAAAAAAAACTCTTTTAATTAATAAATGAACTTCCATTAATTTTATAAAAAATAAATAAATGTCAAAAAAGAGGCCTACATTCATCCATTTTCGTAAAAAAAAGAATCAAAATTCATTTTCCCGCTTAGCCCGATCACTTCCGCAAATGGGCATTTACTACTTTTTGGTAATGGCCAATAGTTTAAGTACCTAAGTAGGAGGTTTTTTAGTTCGAGTACCCAGATGGTAATGCCCCCATAGTTTAAGTACCCAGGTGGTAGCTTTTTCAGTTCGAGTACCTATATGGTAATGCCCCAATAGTTTAAGTAACCAGGGTGCATTTTACTCTTAATTTAACATAGAAAATTATCCAATCTGGATAGTTGCTTGCAACGATGGCTCCTAGCAATAGTCCATCAACCTCGAATTGGATAAGCTAGTTGATCATTCCTACCATCATTTATTAACTGTTCGTACCAGTTCACACTAGAACTAGATTAGGGTGCCAATTTATCACCTTAGCTTTATAAACAAATTATTTGAGAATATATAGATTTGAACTTTTCCCATGACGTGCTAATATTAGTTTGTCAAGGCATTGCAATGAGATTAAAATGTGGCTCTTGTGTACGTTCTTACTCTTGCTTTAAAGTCTAGTTGTGATTTTGCACCTGTCATATCAAAACGAAGGAGAGCTTACCCTTGATCTGTTTATTGTCATTCTGGCTTAAAAAACTACCTTTTCCAAGTGAATTTGCCCCCATGTGTTTTGAGTTCTCTATGATTTTAACCTCTATTTTAATATCAAAATCTGGACAATATTTTTGAAACATTTTTTTTTTTACAAAGAGCTCCTTCAACGCCTAGGGATTGAAGTTGGACAAGAGTTGACTCAACATGTAATCGATTTACAAATATTCCAAATCTAAGCAAACTTTAACAAGTTACACATGTGTAATTAAGCATTGACGGAAGCCGGGAGAGTTAGAATAAAATCAGGGGTTAATATAGTCTTTTAATTTTTTAGTCATTTATTTGCTTTTAGCTAACTGAATGTGAAACTAGGGCAAATGGTGGCTACAAATTAAAAAATCAAGGTAAAATCACAAAAACAAGAGAAAAATCACAGTTAGCCTTAAAGCAGGGGTAAGAACACTAATATCCTAATTAAATAGTGAGGTAAATAGACCATGAGTTTCAAAGTTAGTCTTTATAAAGACGTTTAGATTGAAAGGATAATAAAAAACTACAAAGCCATTTCATCATAAAGGATATGCAGTTAAAAGTTGTATATAGGAGGAGTGTTAACAGATCCAGTAAGTGAGTGGCAAGAGATACTATTTGGATAATAAAGGGAGGAAAATAAATTAAATAATAATAATAAATAATAAAACAAATGGAAAGGGAAGTTTCCGACCACGTTGTCTTCCTCCTGTGTCCTGTCTTCCCCCCTCTCCTCCGCCTCTCGCCAAGGAGGCGAAGACGATAACCACCGACGTGCTCCCCCACATGCCCTAGCGATCCGTTCCCATTTGCATACCCAATCCAAGCCCCGAGCAATCGCCAAACCTGGCGGATTAGATTTCCACCCTCACATGGAGGAAAAATCCAACCTTCGCATGTGACCTCTCTTTAAATCCCCGCAAGAATCGATCAATCAATCCAAAAGGGAACAGGGAAACAGAGCAATCCCGTTGCTTAGCGTCTTCGCCTTGCCGTTGTCTTCTCTTCTCCGTTCCGTTCCTCGGCGTGCGTAGGCACATAAACCTCCGCTAAAGCTCCTTTGTTGCGCCCAATTCGTCGGCCATTCCCCCAGATTCCCCATAGGCGAGGGTTCCCCGCGCCGAGATCCAATCTTTTCAGTTGTTCGGTTTCAATCGGTGTAAATTCCTCCGGAAAGTAACCAGGAATCGCCCCCCGGAGTTGGAAAAGGTTTCCATTTCTGACCGGTCGTCGAGCCTCGCCACGTTTTGCCGAGGAAAGGCAGGGCGTCCTTTCTGTTACGGTTCTTGATCTGGGGAGGGACCACCGCCGCCGAAGGCAATGCAGCCGGACCCGCAAGGCCCGGGCAGGGGGAAGGCGGGCGGCGCCAATGCGCACGTGCGACTGCCGCCGCCGGTGACGGCGGGGTCGGGTGGGCGGCCGGCGTCGGTGCTGCCGCACAAGACGGACAACGTGCGCGACCACTACCGCATCGGGAAGAAGCTGGGGCAGGGGCAGTTCGGCACCACGTACCAGTGCGTGGGCAAGGCGGACGGCGCCGAGTACGCGTGCAAGTCCATCCCCAAGCGCAAGCTGCTGTGCCGCGAGGACTACGAGGACGTGTGGCGCGAGATCCAGATCATGCACCACCTCTCCGAGCACCCCAACGTCGTCCGCATCCGCGGCGCGTACGAGGACGCGCTCTTCGTGCACCTCGTCATGGAGCTCTGCGCCGGCGGCGAGCTCTTCGACCGCATCGTCGCCAAGGGCCACTACACAGAGCGTGCCGCCGCGCAGCTCATCAGGACGATTGTCGGGGTGGTGCAGGGGTGCCACTCGCTCGGCGTCATGCACCGGGACCTCAAGCCCGAGAATTTCCTCTTCGCGAGCACCGCCGAGGATGCTCCGCTCAAGGCCACTGATTTTGGGCTCTCCGTGTTCTACAAGCCTGGTGCGTATCTATGCAATGTTTATGCTGTTTGGTTTGAAATTTTGTGCTGTATAATGTTGCTAGTTGGTCCCTCATGCTCTAGTGATATGTGGGTAAACGGCTAGCATTGCGTTTGGTAGGGACTAGTGCTCTTATTAGTTGTTTTTTCCTTTTTGGTACATCAGCAACCCTATTAGTTATTAGTGTGATTTGTATAACATCTCATTTTTCTAGCATAAAAAAAAATCTATCACAGATATCAAAACTATAATAACATCTAATACTCCATCCTTGTTAAGAACTGCCTTTTCTTGTACACATCTAATACAATTTGTGTTAAACGTCAGCTGTTAGTAACATAGTGCATAGTGATTAATGAAGTCCCTCAGTTGATTTAGTGTTCTCTTCTGCTTGCTTAAGTTATTAATAGAACACACTGAAAGCTATACCTTTCCATTCTCCAGGTGATAAATTTGCTGATGTTGTTGGGAGCCCCTATTATGTTGCCCCTGAGGTGCTTCAAAAATGTTATGGCCCAGAAGCTGATGTATGGAGTGCTGGAGTAATTTTGTACATTTTGCTATGTGGTGTACCCCCATTCTGGGCAGGTAAACTGTTTGTTATTCCAACCATTGAATTGCTAGGTTGAGATCCATTTCTGTTTACCGATATTGGCATGTTTACATGTGTATTTTTTTTTCTTATTTCCCCCCTCCCATCAGAGAGTGAAGCAGGGATCTTCAGGCAGATTTTGCGAGGCAAACTTGATTTGGAATCTGAACCATGGCCAAGTATCTCTGATAGTGCTAAAGATCTAGTCCGTAAGATGCTTACCCGGGATCCTATGAAGAGATTGACTGCTCATGAGGTTCTATGTAAGTTTTCTGCCTGAATGGCTTCCCTCCCTCTCTGTCTTAGATTTCATATGCATGCTTGTGTTCCTGTGTCATTTTTATGACATTGACTATTGCAGGTCATCCATGGATTGTTGATGATGCTGTTGCACCTGATAAGCCTATTGATTCTGCTGTTTTGTCAAGGCTGAAAAACTTTTCTGCAATGAACAAGCTCAAGAAGATGGCATTGAGGGTAAGATCTTTTTATCCCATTGTTGATATGTAATTATGTTGCAAACGAAATTCAGAACTTTGTTTAGTGGCGATGTTCGGTTCATGCTTCATTTCTATTATGACATTCCCATACAACCTATTACTAGTTTTGTGTTAACTTTGTATGTATCTTTTCCTTTCTCTTTCCCCTTGTTTTCCATGTCAACTAGATTTTTTGTGAACTTACCTTTAAATCTATGTTCATATTACTCCCCTTTATTATTCAGAAAGGCCAATTTATACACATCTGCTTAAAAATCAGAACTTTGTAAGCCAGGCTATTTAACCTCCTATTGTTGTTTTTTATGTCCTACTATAAACAAAAAGCTGGCCTGCATGTCACCTACACCTCTTTTTCATAATTCAAGAAACCTTTTTCTTTCCAAAAGAACAGTCCTCCCATACCCTGCTGTCTCCAATCCCTTCAGCTGCACTACGGCCACAGGTCTACTGATCAGCAAAAGCTATTGAACCCATGATTGAAGACCACCTAACACTAGCAGCAGGATGCCACGAATGGCAGCAACTGTTACTTTCAAAACAGAGGTTCAGAAGAATGCTTTCAAAATAGAGGTTCAGAAGAACGTGTTGTCCTTTCTTTTTTCTTTGAAGTGAAGAGAGTTTTTGCTTTTACTAGTTGTCTGACACAGTACTGGAACAAGTAATGCTCAGGTTTACACTATGGGTTGTGCAAAATGTTGTTTGCTTGAACTCGAGGTGAACTAGTTTATCACATAAAGAGCATGTCATGAGGTTGCAAAAATGCTTGATAAATGATAAAAAGACGATGGCATGTGCAACATGCAATGACCATGGAAATTGATTTTTTCAGAGGCATTTCTTTGGTTCGTGCAGGTGATTGCTGAAAGTCTATCTGAGGAGGAGATTGGGGGTTTAAAGGAGTTGTTCAAAATGATCGATACTGACAACAGTGGGACGATAACTTATGATGAACTGAAGGATGGTCTGAAAAGGGTGGGCTCGGATCTGATGGAACCTGAAATCCAGGCTTTGATGGATGCAGTAAGTGCTACTATTGTATATTTTCCAAATAAAATAGTTCTACTGGAGCCATTGAGATTGTAATCTGGGCTTGTCCTCTGTATCAGGCTGATATTGACAACAGTGGAACCATTGATTATGGAGAGTTCTTAGCGGCTACCTTGCACATGAATAAACTGGAGAGGGAGGAAAGCTTGGTGTCGGCATTTGCATTCTTTGATAAGGATGGGAGTGGCTTCATAACAATTGATGAGCTCTCACAAGCATGCGAACAGTTCGGTCTTTCTGATGTTCATCTTGAGGATATGATCAAAGATGTGGACCAGAACAATGTTAGTCTTCTTCATCCTTGTTTTTTTCGTCTCCATCTCCGTACTTGTCTGAAGGGCGGGCCTGGTGCAAGCGGTAGAGTCTTACCGCCTGTGACCGGAAGGTCCCGGGTTCGAGTCGCGGTCTCCTCGCATTGCACAGGCGAGGGTAAGGCTTGCCACTGACACCCTTCCCCAGACCCCGCACAGAGCGGGAGCTCTCTGCACTGGGTACGCCCTCCGTACTTGTCTGTTACCTCATCTTCATTTAATTGGGTGCTGCCAAATTATACATCATTTTGCAGGATGGGCAAATTGATTATAGTGAGTTTGCTGCGATGATGAGAAAGGGCAATGCTGGTGGAGCAGGAAGGCGAACCATGAGGAACAGCTTGCATGTGAATCTTGGTGAACTCTTGAAGCCCACTGAGACCTAGTTTTTATCAGAGGATTCTACTTTGCAGATCCTCCCATCTGAAGTCTACCGTGCCTCATCAGCTTTCACGGATTGATTAGACTTTGATCTAGTACCAGTGCCACAGAAAAAGCGGTTAAAATTTTCTCAGTGGTACTAGTAGTTAGTGGAAAGAGCATTTTGTGGTACCAGTGACAAATTTTAGGTGCTGAAGATGGCATGTTATGCTACTCCTGAGTCCTGTTGTCTTGTCATGATTGTTGTTGATAATTTCAGGTTTGTGTACCATTACTGATCTTTGTTGTCAGTGTAAAATGTGCTGTTGTCCCATAAGGTAGGTGCCTAGGTCCCCATTTGAAGTATCAACGGATTTGTAAACTTGTTCTCATGAACCTATTTATTATTGATGATTTGTCAAAACTATTGTTTTTTCGGCATCACAGTATTATTAGGAATGGTTACATCATTTGTCTTCCTCCATCCTTTCCTGCTGTTGTTCACGTGATACTTGCTTTTCCATCTTTCTGAACTCCTCACTGATGAGGAAAGGCGTTTCATATATATATGCTGTGGATGATACTGTGACAAATTATGTCTGAACTCGTAAATTATGTTTTGCTGTGTATGTTTCGCATTACTTTCATGTGGTGAAGGAACGGGATAGCAGATTCAGAATCTACCATGTGCAGAGCATTTGTTCAGACATGGTTAAACCAGTGTTGTGCTCCAGGTGTTCCTGCAGAGATATTTACTCTTGTCTTGTTGCCAGGAGCAAGTTGTATGTGTTGCCATCCAGTGATCTCTTGAGTGTAATGTAATCAATGAAAGATAGGAACAGTTCGGCTTCGGCCTCTTCCCGTATGTGAAGATCACTGAATCATTTGTCGTGACCGATGATCTGCAGGCAGGACCGCAATTGGACTGTCCTGAATGTCCATTCTTGTTCTTCAGTTGAGCACCACAAGAAGCCGCAGCCTGGTGTGAGAGAGAGGCCGTCCGTCCCTGAGTGAGTTTGTCACATGAAGCACTGGGCATGGCAACAAACAACTCGCAGCAGCAGGCGTTGCCATCGCCACAAGCCCCCAAGAGACCCGCATTATTCGACGAAAACTACGGCGGCGGCCATTGCCAAGCGTGCGTGCGAAGCGATCCACGGATGGGGGAGATCACCGCAGGCGGCAAACCTACGGGCGACGGTGGCTGGCGAGGTGCGTCCACAGAACTTGCTGCAGGTCTCTGTCCGTCCCGGCGATCCTTTTTTTAGGTGAGCAACTCCCATGGCTGAGCTGCATGCAGCAGGGTCCGTCGTTGCAGCTTTATTTAACCTTTTCGTTTTAACCATACAAGGCACAGATGAAAATGGATAATGGGATGGAAATTACATACAGAAAAGAAAAGATGGTGTGCCAGCAGCAGCCCCAGAGCATCAGGAATCAGGACAAAGAAAAAGCTGGTGATTGGTGATGGCTACAGGATTGGATTGGTGCCAAGGCAGTGAGAGGCAGCCAACCATGACACGTCAGCCACCGAAATCCAGAGCGCAACCTCGGCCTCACAACTCATATCCCCTTGTGCTCTTGTGCACCCTGGTTAGCCCGGTGTGCTGCTGGCTTCTTCTTGTTTAAATATGGGAGATGATTGCAGCTCTCATCACTAAGGAAGCAGAAGAAGACGGCTGTGAAGTGTGAATCTGAACCTTGTCTGAGGTCAGTGGCAGTGGCAGCCTGAGTGAGCTAGTAGCTGAGTTCCGATCCTAGGCAACTAGGATACCGCCATACCAGTAGTCCTCTTCACAAGTTAAGAGAGACAGCAACAAGAGATGGTCGCTGCTAGCCTGCTCAAGTCCTCCTTCCTTCCCAAGAAGTCCGAATGGGGCGCCACCAGGCAGGCCGCCGCCGCGCCCAGGCCGGCCACCGTCTCCGTGGTCGTCCGCGCCTCCGCCTACGCCGATGAGCTCGTCAAGACCGCGGTACGTATACGTCTCCATCGTTAATCTCTTCTTCCTCCTGCTGCTGCTGCTGAAGTGCATGCTGAGTACATACGTGCCTCTGTACGACTGTGCATGGATATATCCTCAGAAAACGATCGCGTCGCCTGGGCGTGGCATCCTGGCGATGGACGAGTCGAACGCGACGTGCGGGAAGCGGCTGGCGTCCATCGGGCTGGAGAACACGGAGGCGAACCGGCAGGCGTACCGCACGCTGCTGGTGACGGCACCGGGGCTGGGCCAGTACATCTCCGGCGCCATCCTCTTCGAGGAGACGCTGTACCAGTCCGCCGTCGACGGCCGCAAGATCGTCGACATCCTGGTGGAGCAGGGCATCGTCCCCGGGATCAAGGTGGACAAGGGCCTCGTCCCGCTCGCCGGCTCCAACAACGAGTCCTGGTGCCAGGGCCTCGACGGCCTCGCCTCCCGCGAGGCCGCCTACTACCAGCAGGGCGCCCGGTTCGCCAAGTGGCGCACCGTCGTCAGCATCCCCAACGGCCCCTCCGAGCTCGCCGTCAAGGAGGCCGCCTGGGGCCTCGCCCGCTACGCCGCCATCTCACAGGTTGGTTGGTTGGTTGCTGGTTGGTTCTTTATTTGCTGCCATTATCGGCTGCATGCATGGCATGACCTTCATGCGCTCAGGACAACGGGCTGGTGCCGATCGTGGAGCCGGAGATCCTTCTCGACGGCGAGCACGGCATCGAGCGGACGTTCGAGGTGGCGCAGAAGGTGTGGGCGGAGACCTTCTACGCGATGGCGGAGAACAACGTGATGTTCGAGGGCATCCTGCTGAAGCCATCCATGGTAACGCCGGGGGCGGAGGCCAAGGACCGGGCGACGCCGGAGCAGGTGGCCGAGTACACGCTGAAGCTCCTCCACCGTCGGATCCCGCCCGCCGTGCCTGGGATCATGTTCCTCTCCGGCGGGCAGTCGGAGGTGGAGGCGACGCAGAACCTCAACGCCATGAACCAGGGCGCCAACCCGTGGCACGTGTCCTTCTCCTACGCGCGCGCGCTGCAGAACACCTGCCTCAAGACCTGGGGCGGGCAGCCCGAGAAGGTCAAGGCCGCGCAGGACGCCCTGCTGCTCCGCGCCAAGGCCAACTCCCTGGCCCAGCTCGGCAAGTACACCTCCGACGGCGAGGCAGCCGAGGCCAAGGAGGGCATGTTCGTCAAGAACTACAGCTACTAAGCTAATCGGCCGGCCGGCCATCACCGGGTTACCGACGACCCTCCGAGATACGCGTACTGATCAGTACTCCGATCCATCCCCATGAAGCCATGAAAACGATGACACCATGGACCATGCATGATGCATGCTGATCGACGCCGTGTCCTGTTTACATATACTAGTAGTACTGCTAGCTTACTGAAAAGATCGAGCTAGCCACTGAAAAGTCTGGGATAATGTATGCGTGGCGGCGAGATCTGAGGGAAAATAATATGTTTCGAGATGGCTCCTTATATTAATAATTAATTACATACCGTGTGCTATTTTTGCCTCGCTGGCGGCTATACTTGTTTGCCTCTCTGTAGCCTGTACAACGAATGCTCCAGCGGATGGATAAAGTTTTATGAAGAGAAATGCAATTGGTCAACCGGTTGATTTAGGGACATCTCTTAACCGTTTTTTTGCCATCGGATGGCGTTCGATCCTCCTCGCCTGTCCTCCCTTAGCCATCGATAGAGAACCAACCGGATAACTTCGGCCTCGTGGTCGCCCCCGCCGTTCCCCACGGCTTCTCTCGAGGGAGCCGCGTAGGCGGCCTGCTCGCCCAGGCTGCGTGTCCACCGCCGAGTAGTGCAGCGTGTACGTGAGCAAAGGAGAGATGGACTACTCGTGGGGACCCGCGCCGGTTGACCAAGAGTGGAGCAGAGGCGCTGCTCCCTCCGTTTCTTTCTGCGTGAGAGGCCGGCGCCGTTTCGTTTTGCCTGGGGACGCGTGTGCACGGGCGTCCCCGGCCCCGCCCCTTCCGGTTGCAGCAGTTTTGTGTGGATTTTGTATATTTTTTTTGAATTTTGTGAAGAATTTGTGAACAATTTGATATATATTTCTTTGGTGTCTGGAATCCATAGAAATAATTTGTATTTTTTTTGAAAAATTTGGCATATATTTATGCTATTTCCAAATTACATCACTTTGTCCAATAAATTACACTGAAGAAATTATTGTAAATATAGTAATAAATCGGTGTAAATATAGCTATAAGATAGTGTAAGTGCATAGAAAAAATTCAGTTGATGAAAGGGGCTAAATCAACCAGTTATTGGCTAGAGAGACCAAACCTATATGCATCGGAAACAGGTTACTATAATACTCCTAATTCCTACTCATCAGTTTTTAGTTTCCCTCCTAACTGCCATATGATTGCATATATGTTATTAATATACTCTATTCACCCTAAAATACAAGGTATTCAAGCGACTTTTTAGAGAAAATAAGGAACCTCGCAAAAAACCATCTTACACCTCACTAATTTGGACAGGGGGAGTAGTTCGATCAGGTGTTAGTTTTGTTAGTGTTTTGGATGGCACCAGGTTTAAAGGAATCTCACTATTTCTTGCCATAAAGACGAGAGAGAGAGAGAGAGAGAGAGAGGAGATTAAGGGCTCAGAATAACTTGTATTTTTGTACAAATTTTAAACTCTAGATCGTAACGTATATTTCACGATAGAGGGCGTATATAAGAAATTAATAATGGAATCATATTTTCCCATTGCGTCGTAACTTGCCAATGCAAACTAGTTGCATGGAGTATATGGGGGCACAGTGCACTAGTGCCCTATTCTATTGTCGTTTTGGTTACTCAATCAATATAGCTTACATGTGTGCTGAGATATGTTAGCAGATTTATATAAATCATATGGATGCTAAGAAACAAGATGCAAAAAGAACAAACACGACCTGAGAAAAAAAATGAAACCACAACAAGCACCAAACCAAGTTCACAGTGAACACCGACTGATATATGGTGAAGTGAGGATAGGTCCACTTGATCATACGTGACTTACACAAGTTATAAATTTGGGTGAGCAATGTCACGGGATCATTCGCCGAAGAGAAGAGAAGACCACTGGACTATAAAATGACAATTACAGAGTGACAATGAAGAAAGTCACGATGCAATGTATGACCAAACGATACTGTGAAGGGAATAGGAGACCTGTTGTATCATCCGAAAATGATTAGACATTTTCTATCACTACAACAAGAACAGTTCAGAGCTGTCTTATTTTTCCTAGTCGTGGTTATTAGATAAAAGAATGACCCTAAAAGTGGCCCAAGAGACGGTTCATCTCTAAAATTTCTAGAGGCGGTTGGTGTTTCTAGAGGCTCTAGAAATGTTGTCCATTTTTAGGAGCACTAGCCGCCTATACAAGATTTGAAACTGATATTGGTTGAAATATTTAATATAAAATTTATAGTAGTTTATATTATGGCACCTAGCCTGTAATTACTTGAATCTTATATTATGGTCTTCTTTTGTTTTCCGAAAAAAGTATTTGGATTTTGTTTTGAGAGGAAAAAAAACGTATCCATACTTTTTTATTAAATATAGTCGACTATCAAATTATCGATGTAGTCCAACCTACTTCTCTTATGACTGAAGTTGAATAGATAAAAAAAAATTTTTTCTCATGAAAAATCGAGTTTTTGAGCAAAGTTGAAGAGAGTTTTTTTTTAAAAATCCCGCTAGGGACTTGACCTGGCGTAGACAGCCGAGGAAGGCTCGGCCCGGCCAATGCTCGGGGTTCAAAGGTGGCAGACTGGCAGTGGCCAGTGGCTCGTGATCGTCCGATGCTGCGAGTGGATGTCCTCGTGCCCCTCCTGCAGTCTTGCTCCCCTTGTCGTGTCGTCGCTTGGCCGTGAAGAATTTTGTGATTTTGTCCCATCCTCTCCTGCCTGTCGCTTTGCTGACTGACACAGCAAGCAATAGCTTGCACGGATGGGGATACGTGACCTGGTCGTTTGGTTGATAAAATATGTGAAAGTACCGTTGATTGATTTATTATAAAAAAATATTATTTATTGATTAAAAAAATATAGTTTATAAACCAAACGTAAATTAAAGGTAGCAGGAACCAGATCGGGCCACCCACCCCAGCTCCTGTGACCCTCGTGCACGCTGCCGTCCACCCGTGTGCTTCTTGGACGGGGCCCCACACATGCACGAAATTGGCCGCTGGTTTGGTGGGAGTTACAGCCCAGCCTCGTTGCCTATACGCTCGGACTCCACCTCGTTCAGAAGCTCACGACAGCCGCCGCTTCGCACACGCCCTAGCGCACGGCCGCCGCCACGCCGCCGCAGCTGCAAGTACCCGCCACGCCGCCGCCGCCGCCGCTTCGCACACGCACGGGCGCCGCTCTCCAAGATGTGCATGCTTTCTCTCCGCCGCCTCCTCCCTTTCCTCCCTCTTCTGTTTTTGCTGAATCTTGCTTTCAAAAAAAAAAAAAAAATGAAACCACAAGAAGCACCAAACCAAGTTCGCATTGAACACCGGCTGATATATGGTGAAGCGAGTAATTTGACGTTTCAAGCTTTCTATAAAAGCTGGGTTTACCTCTGTCACAAAAAAATATATGGTGAAGTGAGGATAAACCCACTTGATCGTCATACGATGATAACCAGTGAGTGACGTACTTGTACGAGCTATAAATTTGGGTGAACAAAGTCACGGGATCATTCGCCGAAGGGAAGAGAAGAGAAGACCACTGGATTATTATTATACAATGTGTGACCAACCGATACTGTGAAGGGAATAGGAGACCTGTTGTATCATCCGACAATGATTAGAGACATTTTCTATCACTACATCAGGAACACTTTCAGAGGTGTCTCATTTTTCCCTAGCCGTGTTGTTATTAGATAAAAGGATGACCCTAAAAGTGGTCTAAGAGACTGTTCATCTCTAAAAATTTCTAGAGGCGGGGTGTTTCTAGACGCCCTAGAAATGTTATCCATTTTTAGGAGCACTAACCGCCTATACTAGATTTGAAATTGTTATTGGTTGAAATATTTAATATAAGATTTATAGTAGTTTATATTATATGGCACCGACCGGAATTACTTAAATCTGCTACGGTCTTCTTTTGTTTCTTAGAGCAACTCCAAGAGCTTATATAAAAAGATATTCCAAATTACATGATTTAGCTATTATCTAAAATACAAAAGCCACTAAAATACAAAAGCAACTCCTATTTAGGCCCTGTTCGCTTCTCTTATAATCCGTCTTTTTCAGCTTGTTTTTTCAGTCGGAACAATGTTTTTCTCTCACAACAAATTAGCTGGAACAGTGTTTCGGCTTGTTTTTTCAGCGAAGCGAACGGGGCCTTAGCATGGATACAAGTCACTACTCGACACCAGAAGATGGATATAGCTATAACATTTTTTGGTTTGGTTGGGAAATAAACAATCTAGCTACCTGGTTGATGTAGACTCGATCAACGTATTGCAAAGAAACATCTTATACCTAGTTCATGTTTTCTATTTCTTGTTTACAAATATGTAAATGAATTTAGTTTGGTGAATTTTGAATTACTGGCACAAAATGGACACATGAGGTTTGTGTGCTTGTGTTCATAGACGTACTATTAGAAATATCCACTTCTATGACGAAAATACAAATGACGGATCCAAAACCGTCATAAAAATCGTTTTTATGATGAAAATTTCGGTTTCGTCATAGATCATCGGTGACGATCCTCGAACCCCCTTATCTATGACGAAATCGGGTATCATTACAAAAAACGTCACATAACAGCACAAGGTTTCGTCAGAGATCACTCGCGCGACTGTTCCTACTCATCTGTGATGATCTTATTCATAACTGTGACGAACAGGGCTTCGTCATTGAACTAATTACTGATATCTGATGAACAATATTCGATCTGTAACGACGACGCTTAGTCATAGATCTCCACACGATACTTTCTCCATCCGACGTGTACCTGTGGGACCTATAATTACTCATCCGTGACGCTTGAAATTCTTCATAAAAATCTCCGCTCGATCCTTTCTCCATGCAACGTGTACCTGTGGGACCCTTCTCCATCCGACCTGTGGAACCCGACGGCTTACGTGTCACGTGTACATGTGAGGCCTTTCTCCATCTCCATCTGACCTGTGGGACCCGACGGTTTGCGTGTCACCTGTGCTGGTGGACCCCTCTCCATCCGACTTGTGGGACCCG